AAGGTTGTTGATATATGTTGTGTTTTCTCAGTGATTACCAGACTAAAACTATGCACGAAGTGTTGTTCTGTACTAAGATGTCTTTTGTATATTGGTGTTGTGAGAGTATATGTCTTGAGTTGTGTATGTTGTCTCTTTTCTTAGGTGTATTGCCTAAAAAGAAAATTTCTAAGGATCTGAGGGATTTGCGAAAAGAGTTTTTTTTTTCATTAATAAATATATATAAAATATATAATATATTATAAAGATTTATTTTATTGAATTACCAGAAGAAAGTATAGCAAAATCAATAATAATATTTGTGAAAATACAAAAAAACAAAATTGTTTTTTTTTACTCTTTTCACTGATCCTCTAATCATATATAAAAAAGATATTTGCAAGAAGTTTTTTGCTTCTTTACTAATAAAGTCTTTAATACTTTCCTTAAAACACCTTAAAAAGTAACTTCAAGAGTTGTCTCTACCCTCCTTACTTGTTTATAATCCTTTTTGACCAAAAACTTGACTTCTGATAACCAAGAACAAGTCAAATAACACCTTTGATACCAATGACAAGAAAGTTCCCAAAGAAAAAAGAACCAATAATAAAGTACATGAAAGCCTTTTTTACCTTTGAAATGAGAGGTATATAGAGGTTTTTGATGAAAGAAGGTTTTATTTTTCCTTTTCTAGTCACTGTTGGGCCTCTTAAAGCTATCACTTTCATGGTTTTCTGAAAAATTTTACCTATCTCAGTTTGACCCAGAATTTTAGATTGCACAAATTCTTATCAAAGATGATTGGCTGACATGAAACATGTTAGTTTCAAGAAAAGTAAATAAGCTCTTATTGATTATACTCACATATTCCTATCATATCATAAGTGGTGTAGAAAAGAAAGTTTTAGAAAAAGTTTCTCTCCAACTAAGTATATTTGATCCCAGGAAACAGTTATGACACCAAAAGGTGGGGTGGGTCCACACAAAGAAATTCCATTTCTTTTTTAAGTTCCTCAAATGATAAAAAAACTTCCTAAGATAGAAACTGAGGTCTTTTGGTTTCTCTTGGACTATCCCAATCCGTTACATACTTAAATAAAGATTTATCTGATGCTGCAGGTGATGACAAAAAAGACTTCTTCCAAGATTCAAATAAAGCAAAGAAGAATATCCCAATCAGGTAAGACCCCTTTTGAGAAGAGGCTATGAAATGAAAAAGAATTTTTGAAGGGCTTTAAATTGTTCTTCTTTTTTTCCTTTCCTCAGTTCAACTTTAGCAATTCATTGTTTTTTGGGATAATCGATAATAACAAACTGTTGGCAATGACCCTGGTTGACTTAGAGACACTATGCCAAGCTACTAGAAGAGCATAATATTATTCCCTAAATCTGACTTAGAGTACCTAGTTGAGACTTAGTTTTGTTTAGTCTGAACTAGCTTAGTGGACTTCTCATATTTTTTAAGTAGTATAATCCTTCAACTAATAATGTACAAAGACGAATTAGTCATTACATGAGAAGGTCTGTGGATTATTTTGATATTTTTTCAAGTAACTTAATAAAGACAAGCTGTTTCAACATGATTGCGGGTTAAAAAAAAACACAAGAAAATAAAAAAGAGCTTTGAATTTTTTTTTTTCAAAATACAATTTAAAAATGTTAACCAAAGTAATAAAAAGAATTAAGACCGCAATAGGTTTTATTAAATATTATTATAAGTTTCTTTCTTTCATAATAAAAACTTTAAAACCGATTTTTAAAAGAAATTTCTAAATACTATAATAGCAAAGAATGAAATAGATAATCCTTTACTGTGCAAGATAACACAAAAGGATCAAAATTACAACATGGAATACAAACGTTATGACTGTTGTAACCAAATTTATATTTGTATTTCATTAATTTTGTTATTCTTTATTACAACCCTAAATAAATCCGGCTGCCAGACAAAAAATTGTACGATATTTATTGTCCCAATGGTATGATGAATTTGTTGTACACAGGGCAAATTGTTATTTTGTGTTCCATAAATTATCTCCATCGATCAGGAAAACGGCTTACATTTAAATGCGTACGTACATGCATATATTACTGTTACCGTCAAAGCAGTAATTGTGGAACACATGAAATTGCCTAGCTAAACTAATATGAATAGTATTTGCAAACATAATAGGAAAATACGAGCAAGTCTAGTCGTTACAAATAAATAAAGTAATCCACACGAAGAAACATTCAAATGATATAATTTTCTAGAGAGATAATATACGATAGCTCAACATACAAGTTTCTATTTATACATACAACAAAATTTGTTGCTTATTCATAAGAATGTATATAAAGAACAAAAAAAATACAAGTGCAAGTAATGATTATGCAATATATATATATAAAATGTGAATTTGAAAAAATTGCTAGTATTAACCACAATAGAATATCCTATTCGATGTACACAGTAAGCCGATTCGTTTAGACTTTTGACAGTTCGAAAAATAAATAAAAATAGATTACATTTCTATTAAAATATACCACTTCTTCAACTAACAAATCACATGATCAGCCCACATCGTAATCTTTCAAATTGTATTTCTTCCTCGCAACTTTGGGGGAAGGGCGTGTGTCACCTTGTATTTATCTGTTTTCCTAATTAGCACATTCGAGAGAAATAAATCTACTCTGCATAAAGTAATAATTTTGGACAAGTTGCTATTGCGTGACTTAGGTCGTTATCGTCCTCAAGTGCAAGGAGTTCCATAGTATTGTCATCCCGATATTTCAAGTTTGTCACATGTCCTCCGAGGCGCTCGTATATTTTCTCTCGGAGTTGCGCGTAGGAAACGTTTGAGGCGACACGGATTGCGATAAGATCATCCTTGTATAAAATCTTAACTTTTATAATACTCGGAGTATCGGATAAGTTAGATGCATTTTTGGGGGATTCATCGTGAGCATGAGATGACTTGTTAAAAGATTGTCCCGATAAAGAGGGATTACTGTCATGTTTGTACAACCCGTTCGATATTGACTGATTTTCTTGATTTGTTGAATATGACATTGATGGATCAACCGGAGATGCATCCAAGGCCGACGAGATGTCATTTGGTTGTCTAGGATCCACTGGTGTTTCGATATCACCCTCTCTCATCCCGAACAATTGATTCAGCAAAGGATCTTCCAAGATACGGGGGGGGCAGAAGCAATAACTCCTTAACATAGACATCCAGGTCGGCTCTTCTCTGAGCGGTAATCATATCATTAACATAGGAAAGTGGACCTGGCATGAATGGTAATATTCGTTGTTCCCCAGTGCGACCTGCTTCTACGGGAAATTTATTAAGAAGCGCGATCTGAAATTCATAGAAATCCTCATATAATCTGTATAAGAGGCGGAAGCAGCCTGAAGCCAATCCAATACGGACCAGAAACCAATACCTTTCATCTTCGAAATGGTACATCTCAACCGAAGCAGAAATTATTTTATCGTCTTGAGGGTTCGACTCTGAATCTTCGAAATCGGATTGTTGCGTGGGACTAGTTGGCAAAGTTTCGGAAGCATCTGAATTTTTGTCGAAGCTTCCTGTGGAAAAATCTAAACTCCCATATGGCGCAGAATCTTGCAAACCGAGTTTATTGTCGAAAGGTGCGGAAGACACTGGAGCTAGCTTAGGGTTATATGACACCGGAACGGGATCCATTCCAACGGGTGCTAATTTGGAGTCTGCTGAAAGGCCCAGGCGACCCAATGAAATACTATTTTCCTGATAGTCTTGAGTCATTTTTTTCCATTCTTCAACTTTCGGAACTATTGACTTATCCATTAACTCCTGAATATTTTCTATTGCTTTTCCAGTTGCATGATCCCGGATTTCTATGAAAGCTACTGGAATCAGACCTGGGCCGCCCAAACGACCTATCGGTTTTGCAACGAACCATTCGTGGTTTGACTGGGCAATTACAATAATCGGCTCTCCGGCTTTGGCGTCCAATTCATCTGGACGCTCCGCCACAAAATCATAGAGAACGATGCCATATAACGGCTGGGGTTTCTGACCCGCATTATGAACATCAAGTAATGCGTTTGATTCTGATTTATGATCCCCGCTCAACCGACCACTTTTTTCTAATACTTGAAAATATGAAACTGGAACGAGCCCTCTCACATTTGTAACCGGATTATATGCTTCATACCAGTTGGGGTCATTTTCGTTACCAACAACATGAAAAAAATCTCCCTTTGAAAATGATAATTCATTTGAAGCAGCTGCTTTATAATCGTATAATGCTTTGATAACTTTTTTTGGTGGTAAAATCGTAGGTGATGATTTGACAGGGATGGAAATGGGAGTTGATATTTTGTCCTTTGTAACTGAACGGCGGAAATCCGGTTTAAGTACCTTTGGAACTTTCACCATACTTTTCATTGTGAAATTTTGAGGAAAAGAAGAAAACTATTTTGAGAATCTCGAAGGAAAAATTAAAATATTTCTGTGACTCCGAGCAGGCAAAGCAGTACCTTCACTCTTTTTATTTATTTGATTGCGGCGCTTAAAAGACCGAAATAATATAAAGCGCAAACGATCTACGCTCGTGATGCGAAAATGTTAAGCAAATTAAAAAAGTTATATTAAAAAGCTCCTATTTGAAAATAAAAATTAGAGTGCAGGTCCTTTTGTATGCGATTGTCGTTATATCTGCGTATATAAGAACTCCAACGGAAGAAAAAGGAGTTTGCTGTGACGTGACACTCTAACTACGTTAAGTAGAGGAGTTCGTCAGTTGTGGAGTTTTTTATACTTCAAATGGGGAACTTGTATTGTTAAATCTTTTAGTCGAAAGTTATCAATTGTCCAATCACAACCTGGTTAGTGAAACCCTACATACTTTGCGTTTATCATGCCACGTGTGATACGCATAAACACGTGAATCTCACTATATATAATAACGATAACAGCTTCACATATAAAAAAAAATATTTATTTATACAAAAAAAGTAATATTTTTTTTGTTGAAATTTGATTATCAAAATCTCAATTAACCTTTATGACGTTTACTCTTGCTACTTTCTGACCTAAAGTTAATGAAAATTATTATAAAAGAGCGTAATATGCATACTAAATAAGCTGAATAAAAAATAAAAAAATTTCTTACATGTCCAATCCACGTTTGCTACCTTTTTTAGCATCATCGAGGAATTGACTAAACCCGAATGGGTCAGCTTCCTCTTTCTCAAATTCCACAGGCCCTTCCCTCGTCTAGGTGATGATTTTTGAACCATTAGCTTAAACTTTAAAAGTGGAGAAAGTCGAAAATAAAAACAAAAAAAACCTGGTTTTTATCGGTTCCCTGAAAACCTTTGGACGCAATTCCGAATCTATCGACACTTAGCATTCTGTTTATGCTCTCTTCATTACCGCCGCCGAATTGATCAGAATCATAGGCCTTCTTAGGATTATAAATGCTCGAGGAACTTGAGCCAGCAAAGAGCGGTTTATCGTAAAGATCATAGACTAAAAGAATCGTAGAAACATTAATATCTTAATTGTAGAAATATCAGATATACAATATAATAAGAGAAGAAAATACCATCATCATCTTTAAATCCCGAAGATAGTCCTTCAGATTGATTGAATAACCGAGAATCATATAGACTTTCTTTACTAAGTGTAGGTTTTGCAAGACCTAACGCGATCTTTTCAGATATATCTCTGTTTTGCTCTCTGTAAATAAATATAGAATTTTAATTGCAAAAAAAAAAAAAAAAAAAAGGAATAAATTCTAATGTTGTAAGAGACTAACCGTGCTAGATATTTTGCCCTTTGTTCCGCCCCCATTCTTGATAATCTGTATTCCCTTTCTCGTTCCTTTCGTCGTTCCTGTCTTATACCTTCCCTCTCTCTGACCTTTTCCTCTTCTGATTCCGATCCCGATTCTGATTCGTCAGGAGCTGAAGAATTCACGGTCGTCGAAGAAATTCCAGCCCTAAATTTAGTTGATACGTAAACACGCGTATTAGCAATTTCTTAGTAAAATGCATAATTGATATAAAATAAACGAATATTACGAAAGTTTTACCTTTCTTCTCGAGCCTTTTGTGCTAACATACGAAGGCGCTTCTCTTTCTCTTCTTTCTCTTTTTGAGCAAGTTTGTCTCTCATCAAGGCACGTTGCCGTACCTCTTCACGAGCATGTCTATCGGCTGTAAAAAGTGCTTCAGATAATTTTGCAAAATTGTCATTTATAGTGACCTAATTAAAAAAAATATATATATATATATTAATAGAAAAAAATTAAGGATAATTTTTAATAAAGAGAAGGAATCATAAAAAAAAGGTTATAGAACACACAAATCACCTCTTGCAGTCCACGTCCGTCGGCCGCCAAACGTTTGTCAAGTGGAATCGTGTAACCTTTTGCGTTCTTCCAATTTGAAATACATGGTGGAATGACCCATTCTTGTTGTTCTTTTGCAGAAACTTTTCGAGGTGGAGAATGTAATACTGGCGCCGGTGGTGATGGTGGACCTTGTATTTGATGTGATGGCGATAACGTAAATGACTATCTTTTTTATTTAAAACCCTCTTAAAATAAACGAAAGAAAAATAAAATGCCCTAGCTTACCACGCGGTATCTTTTTATGCTTAAATTTTGGAGGTTCCATTGGATCAACGGGCATTTCCACCATTCTAATTATCCTCTGTTTTGCTCCAGAATTATAAGCTTCACCCTGTTGTCCGGGTGTGTATCTTATATATGTCGGCTCTGAAGGCTTATCACTTTTTACGTTTTTTGGTTGTGAAGCTTTAATTTTTCCTATTAAAAAATGAAAATGGTTATTGAGATGAAACCTCTTGCACATGTAGATGACACCTCATTACCTTGTACAATTTTCTCTAATGCTTCCCTCGTTTTTTCCGTTGTCTCTTTGACCTCCTCCTCGCCCGGCCTTTCAAAATTTATTTGCTCTATGTCTGATCTTTGGTTCACCGGTACTAAATCTTTAAATTGTGAATGAATAACTCGAGATTTATTATGACCTTGTCTTGCAATGTCATCGTATCGAATATTTCCTTCAGCATCGACTTGTAAGGGAAGAGCACCACCACTTTTGCTCTAAAAAAAAAACGTTCTATTAATTTGATCTTCATAATTTAATCATTCGCACTCTTTTGATCTCCTACCGCTTTACTACGTCCCATCTCCAAGGGATACTGTGCTAAGTGAATTTCAGGAAACGAGCCACCATCTCCATAGTCATCTGCATTTCTTGGTTTCCAGCCCGTTCTGGCACCATATGGAGGTGGTTTGTTTTTTTGTTTGGTGGTTGTAAGTTCGTCGAAATGGCGCTCATATCGAGTTTGCTGCTCTGAACTTAGAAGCTGATGCCTGGGTTCTGGGAGTACACTATATAGATATAAAATTGGTAAATTAAGGGTTGCGAGACAGTTTCAACAAAGATCAAATAGAAATTCATAATAAATAGACACCTTGAAAGAGCATTCATTGTTTCTTGCGATAAGTCAAGTTTTCAACATTCACTCTAGGTATTATATTTAACCAGACTCCCAATTTGGTTGGTTGGGTCACGTTAACCTATATCAAGTGATTTTTTACGTAATTAACTTACTCGTCATAGATATAAAAAATCTCTTAATTTTTTCTGAATAAAAAATTTTTATTTTTTTGTTAAAATTTTAATATATATTTAATTTTTATTACTACTATTTTAATAGTAATTTAATAAATTTTGTTCAGTATATAAATTTTATAAAATTTTATTGAACATTTGAATTTTTATTCAATATAATATAAAAAAAAATAATTTTAACAAAAAATTTTTTTTTTTTTTTTTTTTTTTTTTTTTTTTTTTAATGCTAGCTTATCCTTGTATCAGGGTGAACATATTTTATTAAAATAAGAAGATACCTAAGGACAACCGGGATGAATAATTATTTGTACTATCTAAGGATTTACAAATCAATGAATAGTATAGGGAGCAAACTATTTATGTTTTATCCTAACAAAATAAGATAATTATATAATCATCTAGTATAGATATTCTACTTATTAAAACAAAACAAGGAATAATATTGAGTAAAAAGAATTTTTCATTATATTATCTATATAATTATACTAGGTACTTTTTAGAAATACTGTATAATAAAACATGGCCTATTGAATAGTTTATTGTTATCCCAGATTTCATAAAAAAGAAAAACTAATGTATTAAGAATTCACCTATAGTTAAAGATGAGTTTTTAAAGGGGGAGGCAAGGAAAAAGTCAAATATCTTTATTAGAAAACATTAAATTTTTAAATCAATAATTATAAAAAAACTATCCACAATTTTCTCAATTATCCAAATCATTGATTTATAGTATTTTGTGACTTTTGTTTCTATTGAAGTGAAGAGCTATGAATTTTGTCCTTCAAAAAAGAACATAAGTAATCTGCAAAATTTTATATACTAAATACTTTAAGAATCCATTATTATCTATAGTACATATTACCTTTAATATTAAGGATTCTTCATGTAAAGTCTTAACTCCATTAACATTAATAAAAATTTTTTTATATTGTGATACTATCAAAAGAGTATTTGGAGAGACCAGATAATTGCTTAATGAATCAGAAGGTTATTTTTTCAATATATTAATACTAGATAATTAAAACTCTTTTAAATGACTTTGTATCTTATTGTTTTTTTCCTTTAGTTATATACACTGGAAAAGGGAAAGATAAATAGATAAGGGTTATTGTTTGCTATTCAATGAGTTCTAATCCAGGTTTTTTTATTCTTTCTGTGTAATCAACGATATCATAGATTTCATGTCCTATATCTACTTATGTGACTGGCTTATACGGTTGCTTCCAAAAGTTTGAGTCCACTTATTATGTTTTTATTATAAATTTCAACTTTGACAATTTTTAAATCCTTAACTATACAGTCAAAAATTATAAAATTTATAT